AAAAATGTTTGTTTTTTTTTTTTCTTAAAAAAAAAAAAAAAAAAAAAAAAAAAAAAAAAAAAAAAAGGGTGCAATTTTCAGAAAATAAAAACAAATGCTCACAGATTCTTCCTTTCAAAATTAATGGCATTACTAACCTTGAAAGGCTGCATTTCTGTTCTGTTCCTACCAACCTTTGATTCCTATTATATATGTGTGTGTTTGTGTCGTGGCAATTTTCAGAAAATAAAAACAAATGCTCACAGATTCTTCCTTTCAAAATTAATGGCATTACTAACCTTGAAAGGCTGCATTTCTGTTCTGTTCCTACCAACCTTTGATTCCTATTATATATGTGTGTGTTTGTGTCGTAGAATGTTGCTGGCAAAAGTGCCAAACTGCCGTCCTCTCTATAATACTTGAAACTTTGAATATGCGAAAACCAAACAGGAAGGCTTACTTTGCTAGCCTAGAAAGGACTTTTAGGGAGGGAGAAATTGATCATATATCACTTAATGACAGTTCCATGAAGAAAAAAGAGGAAAAAAGGGGACACAAATTGCAAAAACAATGATGATCTCACATGTCTAAAAAAAAAAAAAAAAGAATACAGAAGTATGATTTCATCTGTCGAAAGTAAGGGGAAAAATGTACAAGAACAAAAATGATGAGGTCAAGGAACATAATCATTTTCAATTGTAGGTTGGGTTCTAACCATTGAAACTGAAGGCATTTTACTTGCACCAACCCAAAACGTATCAAAAGCCACACCTTGTTCAGATCGCTTCTCCATTGCCCTCAATCTCTTCCTCTTCACTATTTTGAAAATCGCCGTCGTAGCCAAAATCAACAAAACCACCCCAACAAACCCACCGCCGAATCCAATCAACCACCATTTCCAATAATTTTTCTTCTTCTTCAGTGTCATAGGATCATGTGGTGAAGAAGGCACAACAATAGAAAAATGACCTTGACCCCTTGCAATGCACCCATTATTTGAAGTCATGTTGTTGATCTCAAACCTCCCATCATCAGAAAACTTGACACATTTCGGAGTGTCGTTCTTCCAACGTAACGCTATGTAATCATCGAACCATATTGAGATTGGTTTTCCCTTGACACTTAAATTGAGCTTCTCTGTGCCTAACACACTTGGAGAATCATAAACCGTGAAACCAACAACCGGAGCAACCAATGAGTAATTAGGCACTTTGTAGTACAAAGATGACCAATTACCTAAATTCTCATACACTATGGCTAGCCTCTTAACATAAGGATTTGGTACAACTTTTGGTGGGATATAAAACGAGCTAAAATTTGCCCCTCTATTCCTAAGACTCCCACTTCTGAGTCTCACAAATGTTACATCCATTCCTGTGAAGTTAGAAGGGAGAGGAATATTGTATAGAGTGCCCGTTTGGGTTTTGACTATACTTTTATTTATGTAGTCATGAAAAAAGTTGCTCAAGGACTTGGAATCATAATAATAACCATATAAATTAGAGGGTTCAACAAAATATGATGGTGACAAGGAAATTACAATGATGACCCAGATAACATACCGGCTTTTGAAGAGCCCCATTAATGACACAACCCCATAAGCCTTGTTGAGCCCTTCTTGTTGAATATTCCTTGGATTGCCGAAATCACATGTTTCTGAGCCAAACCCATCAAAGCTTATATATATATATATATATATGTTTAATATAAATGGCTTTTTACGGGAAGAAGATTGACCAAATCACCTTCAGCACTTGTGAATACGCGTCAAATGGTGTCCCAAAAATGGAGTCAAATTCTTCAAATATTAACAAGTTTGTTCGTCGGGATCTTCTTGGGGTTTGTTATTAGGAAATAGTGGGAAATCAGATTTGTTTGGAGAGGGTGAGGGGAGAATATGAAGAAATCATGTCAAGTGGATTATTGTGGAGAGAATTAACAAGTCTTGTGTTATATGTGTGTGTAATATATATTTGGAATAAAGGGTGATCATGTTAGACTGGCACCAAAGAAAGAAATGGTCCTTATGAGTTGTTTTATGGTTATTTTCTTTCTCATTTTATTCCTCTTAAGATTCGTTGTCAGTTGGATTAGTTGGTTAAGGAGAGAGAGAGAGAGAGAGAGAGAGAGAGAGTTGTTAATAAGTCATGACAGAGGGTGACAACGAGGACTTAGAAAGAATAGTCCCAAGAGAGAAGACGAAAGCTATGCACCTTCATGTATTAATGGCTATTTTAAGCAAAGTGATTTCATTAGCTAAAAAAAAGCCCCTTTCATTCAAAGGACAAAAGAATAAGGGAGAAAGAGGAAAATAAGTCAAGACTTGAGATGAATTAAAATTAATAGGCCAATAGTTTACATAAGTTAATAAATAGGCCAAATTACTGTTTTTGTCCCTAACTTGTCTGGTTATGAACCATAATTTGACAAGTTATTGTCCATAATTCACGATTTTTGTTCATAACTTATCTGGCTATGAACCATAACTTGACAAGTTTGTCCATAATTTATCTGGTTATGAACCATAACTTGACAAATTATGGCATATTAATTTCTATAACTAAAAATTGACCTATATACTTTCTTAAGCTTTTCATATTAGCCTATTTTTTACTATTTCTCAAAGAATAAGAAGAAGAAAGAATAGTGATAGGCCCATAGTCATTTAGAGGGTACACGTTTATAAATTTATGTGTCAAGAAAAACATAGCCCATAGTTTTACAATTAATGGTTGTCTTTATATCTTTCCCTTCGTTTTCTTCTGAGAACTCATCTTCAATTTATTGGTCATTTAAGTTACTTGTACGAATTAATAATGTTGGAGGAGTAAGTTGGCTATTATAATGTCTTTGGTTAGAGTGGTCTAGTTTCTTTGAGGGTTTCCTAAAGTTTAAACAATTATTATATTGGCACGAGGAATTTGTTCACTCATATTAGTAAAGTAGCAACAAAAAGGTTTTAAGTAAGGGAAATTGTAATAGTTGGTTAGTACGTCAATTATAAAGCTAGCATTTTATTTTATTTTATTTTTGTTTTCTTGGTAATATATTATAAGCCTGCGTTTTGTTAATTAATAATGTGGCATTAACCGGTCAACTTTGGTGATGCCATACTTTAACGAATTGAATCAACGAGAATTCACATTTTTTACAGTTATGCCTTGCGAATAACGGAGCCAGAAATTTTTTAAGGAGTGCCCGGGTTAAACTAAAATTTTGAAGGAAAATAACTGTCTAGTTACTTTTTCTCTTTTATTTCTTTTGTCAAAGGATTCAAACTTCTAATAGCGTTTAATTCACTTTTTAAAGTCTACAAAATTATAAATTTATATAAGTTTTATGTTTGAATTATTCGTGTGCTTAAGAGTCAAAATTTATGTTATAACTAAGCATTTAAAAAGTTTTATAAATATGAGTACACATTAAATTAAAATTTAGGTTTCGTAAATAAAAATTGGGAGATGATGTAATTATAAAATTTCAGAGGGGGCAACTTGAAGGGAAAAGTGCAATAGTATAAAAGAGTAACTTGGGGCCCAGGGGGGCAGCTGCCCTTACCCCGGGCCTTAAGTAGCTCCGCCCTTTCCTTGACTCAATACTGGGCCTAAACTACAAAGGAGGCAGCCTAATGGTATTCGGCTTACACTTGGTAACCTATTAATGGTATGAGAAATTTTGAGAAATGTTAAAAAAATAAAAAGACTCATCTTTGAATATATGTAACCAATATTAGGGTTTCACATTTGTGCCTCACACTTGACCTAATCAAAGATCGTGGCATAGATCCGAACAATGAAAAAAAAATCGCATAAATCGAAAGACATGTAAATTGTCATATGTCACCTAATTTTCTCAAATGGTACTACGCTTGCTTCCAAACCATTACGCTTACTTCCAAGTGGTTTAAGTTATCGGCGTAATGTCCATCATTTTTTATGAGAGGCTAAAATGATATGCTTTTATCTCCCGATGCCAATTGTAATGATTTCATGTGAACATTTTTTAGTATGTGAGAAGTCCTTTTGATCTATTTACAGACGTAATTAAAGTTTTTTCACTTCTCTCCACACTAATTTCAAAAAAGAAAAAAGAAAGTGGGAAATCCAGTGAAATACACTTCTAGTGAGTGAGCATAAAGATTTAGGTTGTGTCTGGAGTTGTTTTTGTTTTTATTTTTCACGTTTTTTGAAAAAAAAAATAAAAACGGGAAAAAAATGACGTTTGACACAATTAAAGACAAAAAAACAGAAATGAAAATGATTTTTTGATTTAGTGTAAAATGGGAAAAAAATGAAAAACGACTTTTAGACATTTTTTCTTTTTTCTTTTTGTTTTCTCCTCTTGAGCAGAGAGTGAGAGAGAGACATTATGAATTTTTTTATATTGAAAATAATCTCTTGATAAAACTACCAAACGCATTTTTAAAAATGATTTCTGTTTGAGATTGAAAACGTTTTTATTTTCATTTTCATATAAAAAATAAAATCATTTTAGAACGAATTCTAAACGCATCCTTAAGCTCTTTCTTAGACTACAAAATTTTCACACTCTTTTCCTTTAACATATTGATCTAAGAAGGACAAAATTCTAAGAGAAGAAAACAAAACTAAAGAGGTAAGTTAAGCAGAGCACATTCTTCATTTTCTTTAAAAAAAAAAAATGAGTAAGAGTCCTAAACTATTAGCCTTGATTACTCTTACACACCAAAATAAATTGAGATTTAGGTCTCGTTCACTTCGCGAATTTGAATTTTTAATTCGAGTTGAGATGTGACATTTTCTAAGAGCTTTTCACTGTAGTAGAAAAAAGTTAGATATAATATTTTATGAGAACTTTTTACTGTAAAAATTTAAAACTGAAAATTCAAATCGGTGAAATGAACGAGGCGTTAGTATTAAAACGTTTCAAACATCATAGAAATTAAAATGGAATTTTAGGTAAAGTTCGTGACAATGAGATTAATTAAAATTTTCCGGACTACTACAATAAATGAAGGCAACCACCCGTTGGAGAGAGAGAGAGAGAGAGAGAGGGGAGGGAGAGAGAGAGAAAGGGCAAAGACCCTCAGACCGCAAACGTGGATTGCAGATAGGAAAATACCCAATCACAATGCAACCTTTAGCCACGTGTCGATCTCTGAGACGAGGCAGTGAAGATGGATAATAAACAAACCAATACCAAACGCAGAAAATTGGGGGAGAACAAAATATCTTTTTGTTTTTCTTTTTTCCTTGTGGATAATAAACAAACCAATACCAAACGCAGAAAATTGGGGGAGAACAAAAGATCTTTTTGTTTTTCTTTTTTCCTTGTGAAAGGAAAGCAAAGCAAAGCAATCAGCAAACCAAAGTCAGACCCATTCATTAGCAGATAACAATCATCTTGTGGTGGGTCGCGGTGTTCCTAAAAGAACAAGAAAATGGCAGCAACGGCGGCGGAAGCGGGGGGGGGCCCCCCCGGTTTTTCGCCTCTCCGGCCAACCGCCCTCTCGCTGCTCCGCCTTGCCTCCTCTCCCGCCTCGCCTTTCCTCTTCCGCTCTTCGTCTTAAGCCAGTTTCAGGTGATTTTCCGTTTGGCATTTCGTTGTACACTTGTGTTCAAAAAGGAGTTGAAAGTGTTTTTTTTTTTTTCGTTGGATATGGGAATGTTGGGGAAAAGGAAGCTGTTTAGGGCTTTGATTTATATTTGGAAACTGAAATTCTTTGTGTGTGTGTGTGTGTTTCAATAATTGTTTCAATTATTTGGTATGCTGAATTTCTAGCGTTTCGGAAACTAAAAAGTGTATTAGATGCTGTGAAGTAATTTAATTGTACTGTTAAGAGTTTTGTTTAGTTTATAATTTCTATATAGGAAAGAAAAGTGTTTTTTTTTTTTGGGGGACTTTTTAAGTGCCTTGTATTTCCATTTGGTCATTTGGGTGAATGTTATTGCGAATAATTTTGTGGAATTTGCAAACACATGCATTTTAATTCAAGCGCGTGCACACAAGAAAATATTCGGGGAGATTTTTGGTGGGTGTTTCGTTGAATTTGTTTCGGAAGCCCCACATGGTTGATGATCTTTGTTGTTTGTTAAAACGTGTGAAAGTAAGAAGTGTAACATGGTACTTATTCTATGCAACAAAAGTGTGACATTGGATTTTATAATAGATAAGTTTCTTATTGCTATATCTTTATTAGTGATTGTCACGTAAAATAAATGTCATGTTACATGTTTTACATCTATGTGTTACATGTAAGATCGGTTTTTAAACTTCTTATGCGTGACTCATGACTAAATAATGGCTATTCAATCTTCGTACATCATATTCTTTTGTCAAATTGTTTTAATCAAATGGGGTCGAATTGATATCATTCATTTTTCCTTTTTTGATTTACGTTGTGCTCTACTGCTCAAAAACATAAGATTCTATGCTTAAGCAGCATGTTTTTTTCTTTTATTTAGAGTCCCGAAGGCCAATGCAGTTTCAAATTAGAGCTTCGTCCGATGAGACATCGAGTGTTGATGCTGGTGAGCTCTTCACAGACTTGAAGGAGAAGGTTAGTACTTAGTGGTAGAGTCAATCTTGTATTTTCACTATAAGGAATATGCTTATTACTTTCGAATTTCCTCGACTGATACAAATTGTTGAATAAGTTAGTATTTCGTTTGAAACAATTCCCTTGATGTTTCTTCTTATCAGTGGGATGCCGTTGAAAACAAGTCCACGGTACTTGTGTACGGAGGTGGGGCAATAGTTGCTGTCTGGTTATCTGCAATCATCGTTGGTGCCATCAACTCAGTGCCTTTGGTGAGTCCATTTTTTAAGTGGCATTTGGAGATATGCCACTCTTCCATATGGATTGCGGGTTCAAAATGTGGTTGTTTGAACTATAAAACTCTGAATAGGGTGGTTTTGAACATGGTTTCAAACCGCATGAATTCATTGGGTGGTCAGGGACATGCAATTAAACACCGGTTTGAAATTGGCTCATGGTTCAAACCACTTGAATGTGTTTCAAACCGCATGAATTCATTGGGTGGTCAGGGACATGCAATTAAACAACGGTTTAAAATTGGCTCATGGTTCAAACCACTTGAATGCAGTCTTTTTTTTTTTTCACTTTGCATATTAATTAGGCTACTTTCTTTTCTTATCACCAGCTTCCCAAGATCCTGGAGTTGGTAGGGCTAGGATACACAGGATGGTTTGTCTACCGTTACCTTCTCTTCAAGGTAAATTCGAGACATCAAAATTGCAAAAACGCAATCTCTAGTCTTCTCTCTTTAAGTGCGTATATTCATCTCTCGGATCTTTTTCAAACCAGTGATTCTTGATTTTAACTTTTGAAATTTAAATATTTTCTGAGAGAAAATACTATTTCAAAACCATAGGTTTGAATGCATGAAACAAACAACCCTTCTTCTTTCTAAGCAACGGTAAATTCCTGTGAAAATTTTCTTCTTCATTCTAAACAACGATAAATTCCTGTGAAAATTTTCTATTAACATTCAATATGAACTACTTCTCAACCGTCCTGACTTCCAAACGGTTTTCATGTCATTGACATATAAACTGGACGCTGATTAATGCTGATGTCATTGTCATTTTCCTCAGTCAAGCAGAAAAGAACTAGCTACAGATATTGAAGCCTTGAAGAAGAAGATTGCTGGAACTGAGTAGATGCATTTGTGTGCTGTCAAAGATTCAAAGCATATCAATATCGCAATCCTTTTATTTTGGACGTGTATTTCCGCATAAGAGGCATTTGTATTCTGTGATGTAGACTAGTTTTTGTATCCCCTTTGTATTCCTCCTTTCAATAAGATTCGACAATTTTTAAGTTGATTATGGTTGCAAGTTTTTTTTCCCACTCAAACAATTGCTTGCTACTAGTGAAAAGCTTAACTTGAAAGAATTAGAAAAAAAGTAGTTATAATAATGAACAAACAGAACAAAACGGAGGACAGAGCCATTCCATGGGATCATAATGCAACTTTAGTGCAAGCCCACATGGTAATAAGTGCGTCAAAGAAACTTTTTCAATTGATCGAAGTTTCAGGTTAAAATAACAACCATAAAACCAGACCACCAATAATGGTTAGGTTGAATGTCGAACAACTTAAACCTAGAACAGCTAATGTGAATCAATGAAACACCATCTTTAAACACCAATAATAAAACCTTAGCTTTTTTTTTCTTATCCTTGCTACTCTCTGATAAAAACTTAACTGCAAAAAAACTCAATGTCCATAATACATCCTCTGATAAAATTAAAAACCATTATATTCCAGAATTCTCCTACTGTGCGAGTGCACATGGAAATAACTGGGTCAATAATTTCTTTATGGTTCATATCCTTATTCTTAACATGGGGATTGAGCAAACATCAATCATCAAACAAATATAAGAATCCGACCTAAAACGAAAATAAAATTCTCTTACGATTAATCAAATTCATCTCAGATCAGGAATGAAAACTCGGGCGCAATATCACAACCACAAAGACTGAAAGAAATGTAAAAACTCATTATAAACGAAGGCAAATTAATGCATAAAAACTCATTATCCATAATACATCCTCTGCAAAAATTTAAAAACCATCCTATTCCAGAAATCCAAGCCCTAAGCACCAAAATTGAAAAAACAAAAAAGCACGAAAACCTAATAAACAAAAGACGCAAATTAAACATTCCAAATCCTCTCATATCCTATCAATATCCTCGTCCTCAAATTCGATTAAATCTTCGCCAGCGCCATCCTCGTCCTCGTCGAGGAGGAGACCCTCGTTGAGCCTGGTGTTGTCCGGCAGCTCGCCGTACGCCTTGAGGAGCCTGGCCTCGTCGGGCATGTACTTGAGAATGACGTCAGCCTTGTCGTCCTGGTAGTCCCTGAGTCCGACGAGGATGATGTCGCCGGCGGCGATCCAGACCTTCTTGTGCATCTTGCCACGGATGTGGCAGAGGCGCTTGGTCCCGTCGATGCACATGGCCTCGCAGCGGCCGTTGCCGAGCATCCGCTGGACCTGGGCGTACTCCTGGCCGTCCTCCTTGAAGACGAGCTCGCGCTTCTCGTCGTCGGCCTCGTTCTTCCCCCTCTTCC